AGGGAAAACAGGACTCATCGAAGGTAACGTGTTGGGAGATGATGATCTTATGGGTGGTGAGGTCCAGGCACCGATAGCCACGCTGGGCTTCTGGGTAACCAAGAAAAATGCACCGAGCAGAATGTGGGGCTAGTTTGTGGGGAGCAGTAACAGAGAGGTTAGGGTAGCAGAGACATCCGAAGACGCGAAAATGTGTGTAGGATGGGGAGAGTGCGATATAGAGCTTCATGTGGGGTGCGATTGTTGAGGGTGGTGGTGGGGAGAATATTGAAGAGGTGAGTAGCCATGTGTAGGGCTTCTATCCAAAAGTGAGGAGGAAGGTTAGCTTGAAAGAGAAGGGTGCGAACGGTGTTGTTTATTGTGTGGATGGTGCGTTCTGCGCGGCCATTCTGTTGGCTCGTGGAGGGGCAGGAGAAGCAGAAGAGAATTCCTAGATCTTCAAAAAATGTAGCAAGGGGTTATTTCTATATTCAGTGCCATTGTCACATTGTACAGATTTTATGGTTGTATTAAATTGATTTTTAACAAGAGCATGGAATTTAACAATATGAGAGTAGACATCAGATTTGTGGTGGAGGCGAAAAATCCAAAAATAATGAGAAAAATCATCTAATAAAAACATATAAAATTTAAAACCAGATACACTAGGAACAAGAGATTGCCATAAATCAGTGCGCATTAATTGAAACGGAAAAGTTGAATTACGACTTGATGACTGAAAAGGGAGGCGTACATGTTTGCCTAGTTGACATGCATGACATAAAAAATCTAATTTTTATTTAGAAACACTAGCTAAAGAACATGACACGCCATGGAGAACAACGGGGCTGGGCTGTCCAAGCTATCAGTGCCAGGTGGAGAGATTGACTTGGGCCAAATTGAGGTGTGCGTTGGAGGGCGCTTGGGAGATGGGGTAGAGAGGTCCGTCACTATTGGATCAATGAATCACGGCTCCCGTCAATTTGTCGTTTACAGAGAAACCACATGAGTCAAATTCAATGCTGCAATTATTATCACGAGCAAATTGGCAGACATATATGAGATTATGTATGATATGCGGGGAGATTAAGACATTGTTTAAGGTGAGGGGAGGGGATGTGGGAAGGATGCCCTTACCAAAACCAGTAGTGCTCACTTTAGAACCATTACCAACAATAATATGCGAAGGCGAATTAATGCTTGAAGTAAATACATGAGATAAAATACCTGGGTTAGAAGTTATGTGATGGGAAGCTCCGGTGTCCATGAACCAGTTGGGTTGGGTGGGGGTGAGGGTGAGGTTCTCAAGGCTGTGGGCTAGGGCTATGGGGTTGGGTGAGGTGGTGTAGTGGGGCGGGTAGGTAGGGGTGTGGGCTGGGGGTGTGAGGTTCGGGTATGGGGAGGGCTGGGTTGGGTAGTGTGGGAATGGTTTTGGTTTGGGTTAAGTGGGTCGTGGGTTGGGTATGTTGGGTAGGAAGGGTTGGGTAAATATGGGCTTGGGCTAGGGGGTGAGGCTGGTAGGGCCGTGGCCCAAGTAACCCGGGGGAGGGGGAGGGAAAAGTCCAGGGATTTGGGCCTGAGGGTTGCCGCTGGTTTCCGCCGCCGCCACGACCTTGACCCCTGTCGCGACCCCTGCCGCGGTTTCCGCCTCCACTACCACCGCCGGAGGTCTTGCCGCGCCCGCCGTAGCCGCCGCCAAAGCCACCTCTGCCGCTACTCCTAGATTCGCCGTAGCCGCTGCCCTGGTCCTGCCGGTGTCCGTTGCCCGCATGTCCGCCACCGCCGCCGGTGGCGGACATGCGGGCTGTGGACGGCGGGCCGACGCCATATACGGCGTCGATTTGTTGTTGTTCAACAATGAGCAAGGTGGACCGAACTTCCAAGAACGTCGGGAGTGGATTTTGATATTGCAGAAATTGAATTGCAGAAATTGAACTTGACTTCGGATGTCGTGAGGGAGGCCTTGAAGAACCTGGAGGACAAGAGCATGTTCGGTGACAGGGGCATCCACATCGTCAAGATACTCAGAGAGGTTATTGAGAAGGCAACAATATTCGTTGATGGAGAGTTGGCCCTTCACAGTTGTACGGAAGCGGTGTTCCAGTTGCATTGCCTGGGCATGCTTGTTGTCGTGAAAGAGATTGTAAATTGCCATCCATCCCTGAATTAGGGCATCAAATTGATACCATTCGGCATCGTCTGCAGAGGAGGCGATGGTCGTGCCATCGATGAAACCCTTGAGATTGAAGCGGAGGATCAAGAGACGAAATAATCGACTCCACTTTTTGTAATTTGGTTCTGAGAGACTGAGTTGGACAGGGATATGAAGTTTGATGTTGGATATGGTGGTGAAGGCTAGATGGGGTGAACTATTTGGAGGGGAAGTTTCGTTGTTGGAGGTGACCTTGCCAGAGGAGGAGGAGTTGGCCATGGTTGCCGGAGGAGGAGAGAAACCGGCGGTGAAGAGGGGGTGGGTGCTGGCCGAAAATCAAGAAGGAGAGGGGAAGAGGGAAGCCGTGAGAAATTAGGGCTCGGATACCATGAAGAATGAATATTTTCTATTGAATTATTATGGGAGATTACATATGTATATATACAAAGATTTCCTTATAATGACAATAGGAAACAATAATTAATACACCCTATACAAATATGGTAGCTACCAATATACATTAATATTAAATATAGTAAGAATATATTTAACAGAAGCAAGAGGAAACATGAATATCAAAGTTTGGAAGCAATAGGAGGTCAGTGGCTTTGTTGAAAAATCTGAAAGTTGATCTTTAGAGGAAACATGCTCAATAGCCATAGAATCATCAATGACCTATTCACGAACAAAGTAACAATATGTGCCAACATGCTTCATGCATTTAAGAAAAACTAATTTTTGTGTTAGAAAAATGACCGACTGATTGTCACAAAAAATAATCGGTGGGCAGTGTGGCTATATACAAATCAGTCAGTTAAGCCACATAATCTCAGGCAGCCGATATGCTCGGCCTCAAAAGATCAGACGACTTTGAGACTTGGGTCTGTTTCTTAATACTCCAGAATACCAAATTATTACCAAGATTAATAAGATATCTGATGGCGGTCAAGTAGATCATTTGCCTAGTTTAAAAATCTTTGATTAATATTGTTGAATTGATATTATATTTATTGCCACTATTACCATTATTTTTTAGAGTTATTACTACTTTTGTCCGTGAGTTTTTGTCCAGTTTTGGCTGTATTAAGTAAACTATTTTCAACCTTTGACTTATAATTAAATAAAATTCATATTTTATATTAATTAGATAAAATAATATTTTTAAAATATCTTATGTAGTAGATCTAATAAAATTATTTTTGTATCAATATCTAATATAGTTTTTATTTAATTTGGGGTCAAAGTTTACCAATTTTAAACGAAATGGTCAAAAGTAGACAAATACTCTGGGACGACGTGTGTAATAGTCTAATATTGTATTAATTGAAAAAAAAATTATTTTTTAAATTTGAACTCGTTAGCTTTTATTCTTTATGTTTATGATTTTTTAAAATTCGAAATCAATACTTTTATTTAACAAAGTTGTTCTTTTGTATACAAAATTATGCTCTTATTTTATATTTTTTTTGAGTGATGCATGTTCATTTTTTTGGCACGATTTGAGCATGGGTATGGTATTGTACCGTTCCGTTTCATAACCAAATGGTACCGAATACTTTTAGGGTCCATACCGCACTGATACCGAACCGTTTAAATAAGAGCGGCCTGTGATAGATTCCGATAGTATCACGGATCGCGCCCACCCCTATGATTTTGATTCATCCAGTGCTTCCCTTGGACTCCATGACATTAGGTCCTCTAGGACCTAAAGCATATTTTTGTCAACTTATTCTTATTACTTATTACATATTCTTATTGGAATCAGTTTAGATTATATGAGATCAGCTCAGAAACTACATTAAATATAGCTACATTCAGATCAGATTAGATAAATTCAAAACAAGTTAGATCAGGCCAGATCTTATTTCAATCAAATCAAAATCATTCCGATGAGGTGAGAAGAACAAGCCCTTGGTCTTCCCAAAGAACCCGGGACATTGCTCCCTCTAGAACTTCCCGGGACCCAAGGGTGTTGGTACATCTTGGGATATAGAACTTTGCAAATTTGTGACTCCCGAACCCCAGGACCTGTCAGTTCATGCATTCAGGATGTTTCAATAGAAACTTGTTGGAACACACTTTACGTCTCTGTTGTATTAAAGTGGTGTTTGATTTTGACAGGTTTGATAAATGCCAAACATCTGTGAATATGAAAAGATGTTGAACAAACTCAAGGAGAAGACCATGGAAAAGTGATCGAGTGGAAACAAGAACCAAGAACGAAGACGAAGACTTAGAAATAGATCAGTTGGTCTTAATGTGATAAAGACTGCATTGACTTCGTAAACTTGGCTCTCAAAGTTAAAATCATTAAAATTATTTTCATGCATCATCAAAACTTTTTTCATAAAGTTTTTATGAGCCCAAAACACTTGGCATTCGTTTTTGGTCTTTTAGCAAAAACCATATGAAACGACTTAAACTTCACTAGTCGTGGTTTTTACCTTAGTGATGTGCTTTTTAGGATATTACGCTTATTTTCTTATTAAAATGAAATAAATATGTGTTTCTAACACTTGGTTTTTAAATTGGAGAACTTTGATTTTTGACATCGGCTTTTGGCGTTAACTGGCTAACCCATGGTTTTGGCGAACCTGCCAAATAGCGATGTTGGCATTCCAACATTGTTGTTAAGGTTGAACCTGAAGACTATGGGTGGGCAGAAAGTTTCCCAATAGAGATGTTGGAAGTTGAACATAGCTGTTACGCCAAGTCTAAAACATTCCAGTAGCATTTGTAACAACGATGTAGGTGTTACTACATCGATGTTGTGATTAAAGCTAAGAAATTTGAGTTTTGGCAGAATGTTTTTCAACAGCGATGTTGACCCATCAACATAAGGCTAAATCTTTCCTTCTTTAGAATTCAACCCATCCAACAACGATGTTCAGATGTTGAACATCGATGTTATGATGAATTTTGAACATTCAAATTGGAAAGTTTGAGCTTCAACAACGATGTTTAGGACTTGAACATCGATGTTAGGCCAATATCGAGCAGATCCACTTTTGATTTAAATCCCACTACACACACCACTTCACAAATCATCATTCCTTCATTGCATCATTTCTACATATATTTTTCATAGCTTTCGAGAGCCATTTTGTGAAGTTCTTGTTGTATTCTTGAGTGTATATATTTTACTCATTATCTACTCTTTGAGAGAGTCTTTGTATTGAGTGTATATATTTTATTCATTATCTACTCTTTGATAGCAGTGCAAGTATTGGTTAATTTATTTGATCATTGTAAATTCAGTAATAAACTGTCCAAGAGAGTTACTTTTGGAAGAATTGTGAAATTTCAGTCTTCTTGGAGAGTGACTACCCTGAAGGGAAAGAAATTCACTGGGTGTATGCTTAGGTGGAAGATAATTAACAGGCTTATTCACATTCGGCTCTTCATTTTTTTGATTGTTTGTTGTTTACATTTCCTAGTCAATTTTTTGTTGAAAATCTTGGGATAAGGGTTCACACATGAGTTAATTGCAACTGTTTCAACATATCTGCTGATTCCATTTGGTTATTAGCATTACATTTCATAACTTCCTTTTTTTTGCTTTAAAATGATGAGACAAATGAGAGTTAAGAAACCAAACTTGAAGGAGCCATATGAGAGCATGAAAGAACTAGAACCATTCATGGCATTGCATTACATATTTACATGATTACATTACATTAGGCTTATTTTTCTACAATCAGAGAAATGAGTACAACAACAGCGCATAATCAGGATTCACAACGGACAAGAACACCTCCCTCTTCTTGATAGATAGATAGATACCTAAGCAATGACAAACGCCGGAACCGCCACGCCGGAGTACTTAACACGGACCCCAGCCTTATCGGTCTCCCACAACTCTGGCAATGCCTCCTTCATGTTATGGATGCTTTCTAATGCATAATCTGCCCCTTCAACTCTCTGAGATTTCCCTACGAGAACAGTGTGAAGGCCCACACACTTCCCGGCCTGTATATTTCGGACACTGTCTTCGAAGAAGAGAGTTCTGTGTGGCTCAAGATTGGCTATTTCAACAGCCTTTTCAATGGCTGCCACCGATGGCTTGCACAGGACCGGCGTCTTGGGCAGCCCTACAGCGTCTGGCTGGGAGAAGTGTCCAATTATGTCAAAGATCCCTTCGCGTCCCACAAATGTGGGACACTCCTTGTCTTCTTTGTCATTGTCAAATTTGAATGCCGGATTGAGAGTCTCGAAGCATATGATTCCCTCAAAGCAATCCTCTAACCCAAGTATTCTAAGCACTTTCACCGCGTGATCCTTATCCGCGTTCGTGAAAATCTAACCATTAGATTGTGTACAAATTGTTAGTAAAATGTTATAAAACCTTTCATGTGCGTAGAAACACAGCAAGACAGAAAGAGTATCCAAATGAGAGACAAATGGGTTTAATTTAATGGCTGGGTGTTTTTGGGAGCTTACAACTTTGCGGTAAGGCAGGCTAAGAAGAAGAGTCCGAAGAACAGGGTCGGGCTTCAAGTTTTCATATGGCAGTCTCCCGTGCACAAATCTGCATTATTGTTAAATCCAAAGACTACTTTAATTTGTTCATCATTCCAAGTACAACACTGAATGTGTGCATTGGGATCTCACCTGTGGTATTCGTCGTAGTCGAACTCGTAGCCAATTGCCTGACAAGATCACCACAAAATTCTTGTCAACCAAATCTGTATTGAACTAAGTAAACAATTTGAATTGGTTCCATAACTAAGGGGGATTGAAACTTACCCTGAGACCCGCCATTGTGGTGCCATAGTTCTTGTAAAGCAAGTTGCCCAGTTCTTGAATTTTGCTGGGTTCGATACCGAGTTTTTCAACCATGTAATCTAGAGGACGTTTGGGCAATCAAAAACTAACAGATAAATGTTGAAAAGAAATAAATAAACCAGGAAATATTGCAGTTAGAGTGAAGAAGAGTGCAAAGATAGATACCTCTAATGTTTTTGCCACATGCTGCTGCCAAACCAGAGCTGAGGGGATAGAGTGTGTCATCAAGATCTGCAAAACCAAAAGAACAAGAACGAAAACAAGAATATAACAACAATGCATGGGTCGTTTTTGAATTTGTGACATTTCATTTCAGAAAGTCACAATTACGTCTCTCAATAAGTTGACACCTTCAAAATTCGGCAAGAAAGGAAATAAGAATTTAATTCGTGACAAGCAAAAGAACTTTAATTTGCACGGGTTAGTACTCGTATAAGTGAAGTTTTGGTTTGGGCATACGGGTACGTGTCCCGTGCAACTTGTACAAGGGTACCAATGATTTTACGCAACAAATGATAAGTCATACCGAATAAAAGGCAATCATATTTTGGCCTCTCCACTTGGCCATAGCGGTGCTCTTCATACGCCATTTTGGTGTAAAATAACTTCACCAGATAATGAAAAACACTTTAGCATTATATTATAGACAGTGACATATTGACAGCCAATTTGATCACAGTATCTGAATCCATTTCTGAAAATCTAACCATCAACCCTAAACCTTTTGATTAGGCCATTTCACACACCATTAGAAGTACAGTCATTCCAAGTAGGCAAAATAATCTTTTGCTTTCAAGAAATCCAAAGAAAAAATGAATTGAATAATACTCGTACATGAATAATAATATTTATAATAGTAATAATAATAATAATAATAATAATAATAATAATAATAATAATAATAATAATAATAATAATAATAAAAGTTGGAAAAGAACAGACATGACAAGAACTGCCCTGATTCGCGGAAGTACCCACACATCAGAACACACAAATGAACAAATCTTGAAGTGGAAAAAGAGGCACCTTTTTGGGTATGCCAGTTCACAAAGCAAACAATATTAATTTAATTACGGAATATTTGTATCCAAAAGCCTTAGTCCATCTCACAAAACAATTTCCCCATTAGCATTTCAAAATTTTAAAAACAAAAAAAACAGAAATTTTGTGGTTAATTAATATTTACTTTGTTGCATTTGCCGGTCGAAGGGAGTCTATGGGTTGACATTTACTCCACGAGTATTTATTACTGACTAGTAAAAAGATGGAGATGAAAGATTTTTACGTTCTTCTCAAAACAGAGAATTAATGAGAATTTCTATTAAAAAAAGAGTAATGCTAGAGTCACAAACTATTGGGACACAAATTACACAAACTTGCTATTTTTGTACTTTTCCAATTGAATAAAGTGATATTAAATGCTTACAAAATGAAAACTGAGATACATAAATAGCAAGTTTGTGTAATTTGTGTCCCAGTAGTTTGTGACTCTAACATTACTCTTAAAAAAATGCAGTCTGAAAGTAGAGAAGCGGAAACCCATACCAATTCAAGAAGGAAAAATGGAACAATAATTATGGCAGTATAATTATTATGAGTGGGTGGAGGAAGAGTGGGGGAGAAAACAGAGCCTATTCTGCGGGTTTAAATAGCCGCTTAGGCAACGGTTGCGTCCTTTTCCTTCCTTTCTTTTTCTTTTTTTTTTCTTCTTTTAAATTATTCATGAGTAGTACAATAATTTTCGTACTTTAGGTTTTGTATGATTGGATGAAAAATATTTTTCAAGAAAAATAATTTCCAAAAGAAAATGATATCCAAGAAGAATAATTTCAAACAGAATATTTTTCCGAGTATATTCTAAACATATTTTGTGTTGTTTGGTAGGAGGATAATATTTTCTTTAAAAAAGTGTTTCTTTTAATAATTTTTTAAAAACCAATACTTCAACTTTTCCAATCCCATATTTTATACGGAGTATTTTATAACCGAGAAAAAGAATTTGAAATCTATAATTTGAAGTCTTTGGGTCAAATTAAAATTAAGCGAATCTTTTTTGTGTCATAACAATGAAACTGTCTTAAAGACTTTCAAATTAAAGATTTGAAATATTAATTTTAAAATTTAAAATTTAAATATTAGAATTTAAAGTTTAAAATTTTAACTAAAAATTAAAATTTAGCAATTAAAAATTAAAAAATATGAAATTAGAAAATTTAAATTTAAACTTAAAATTTTAAAAGTTAAGGTTTAAAAACATAAGAGTACGGTTTTAAAATTAAAAATCAGAGAATTAAAAAATAAATACTAAAAATTTAAAATAAATTAAAAATTACAAATTGAGATTTTTAAATTAATAACCTAAATTTATTTCTTTTATTAATTTTATGAAAACCAAAATTTCAAACATTTAAATTCCAGATTTTATATTCACAAACAAAAAGAATTCGAAATACACCATTTGAATTCTCTAAGTCAAAATGATATCAAGGGAATCTTTTTCGTGTCATAACAATGAAACTGTGTTTAAGACTTATGGCCTTAAAGATTGGAAATATAAATTTTAAAATTTAAAATTTAAACTTTAAAACTAAATTAACAATTAAAATTAAGAAATTAACTATTAAAAAAATAAAAATAATAATTTAAATTTTACATTTAAGGGGGTTAAAAACATAAAATTATGATAATAAAATTAAAAATTAGAGAATTAAAAAATAACGACTAGAAATCAAAATTAAAATTTTAGCATTAAAAATTTAAAATTTAAACTAAAAATTTAAATTTAGTAATTAAGAATTTAAAAAATTAGAAAACTTAAAATTGGAATTTTAGAATATAAGGTTTAAAAACATAAAATTAAGGTTTTAAATTAAAAAATAGAGAATTAAAAAATAAAGACTAAAAATTAAAAAATAACTTAAAAATTAGAAATTGAGATTTTTAAATTAGTAATCTAAAATTATTTATTTTATTAATTTTTCGAAAACCAAATTTTCAAACATTTAAATTCCAGATTTCATAATCCTTAACAAACAAAAAGAATTCAAAATTCTATAACATAGAAAAAGAATTTGAAATCTGTAATTTGAAGTCTCTACATAAAATTAAAATCTAGCAAATCTTTTTCGAGTCATAACAATGAAACCATCTTCAAGACTTTTGGACTAAAGATTTGGAATATAAATTTCATATTTAAATTTTAGAATATAAAATTTAAAATTTAAAATTTAAACTAAAACTTAAAGTTTAGTAAATAAAATTTAAAAAAATTAAAATCAGAAAAATTAAAAATTAAAAATTCAAGGTTTTAAAAAAAAATAAAATTACGGTTTTAAAATTAATAATAAGAGAATTAATAACAAAAAATATTTTATATTATTAACTTTCTAAAAAACCAAAATTTCAAACATTTAAATTCCAGATTTTATTTGCTATAACATACAAAAAGAATTCCAAATCCACAATATCAAGCGAATATTTTTTGGGTCATAAGAATGAAAGTGTCTTAAAGACTTAGGGTCTTAAATATTTGAAATACAAATTTTAAAATTTAAAATTTAAACCTTGAAATTTAAAACTCAAACTAAAAATTAAAATCAAGAAATTAAAAATTTAAAAAATAAAAAATTTAAATTTTAAAATTAAGGTTTAAAAACATAAAATAATGATGTTAAAATTAAAAATTAGATAACTAAAAAATAAAGAGTAAAAATTAAAAATTAAATTAAAAATTAAAAATAAAAAAATTATATCGTAAAATTAACAATATAAAATTTTAAAATTTAAATTTTAAAAATTTAATATTAAATAAAATATTTATTATTTTAATTTTAAACTAAAAACTAAAAACTAAAACTTAAAAATTACAAATCATATATTAACAATATAAAACCTCAAAACTAAAAAAATAAGATAATAAAATAAAAATTTAATATTAAAAAACAAAACTAACATTTAAAACTTTGAGTTATTTTTTAAAATAAAAAAATAATATTTTAAACTTAAAATTTAAAATTTGAAGTTTAAAATTAAAACTTAAAACAAAAAAATTAAATATTAATATTAAATATTTCAAGTTTAATATTTGATATTTAAAAATAAAAATGAGAATTTAAATTTTAACACTTTAAATTTATATTTAAAATTTAGATCCAAACATTCAAATTTAAAGTTTAAAACATAAATTTAAAAATAAATATTTAAATAAAATAAATAATTTTAAAATTTGAAATTTTAAAATTTATAATTTAAAATTTAAATTTTTAAATTATTTTAAATTAGAAGTTTAAAATTCAAAATTTCAAATCAGAAATTTAAAATTTAAAATTTAAAATTTTAAATATAAATTGAAAATTTGAAATTTAAAATTTAAAATTCAAATTGTAAACTTTAAGATTTAAAATTTAAAGTTTAAAATTTAGAAATTGAAGTGTTAAATTTTAATTTTTTAATATACATTTTTTTAATTTTTAAGAAAATTGGTTGTATATTTGAGTAAAAAGTGGTGAAGTATGGAAATTGGTTTTCTTGAAACTCCACATGACGAGAGACATAGACACGGCGGGTGGTAGGGTCATAAAACCGATACCCTTTGAAAGAAGAGTCATACCCATGGAATATACAACGTTTGGATCGAGGTTGAAACTTGTTAGTGATTTCATGGCTAAGACATGGATATGACAGACACCCAAAAACTCAAAAAATTGAATAGTCATGAGGGATATGGTAAAGAGCTTCATATGGGAATATGTGATTAAGAGAGCGTTTTGGCATGCGATTAATAAGAAAATTTTATGCATCCATTGCTTTTACCCAAATTTTGGCTGGTAGTGAGGGAGTGCAAAGTAGGGTAACAAGAAGTTCAACCAAGTGAGAGTAGTTGCGTTCAGCAACACCGTTTTATTCAAAGGTATATGGGCATGATTTTTTTATGGAGAACCCCCAACTTTGTAAAAACAGACCAAACTTTTTATTGACATATTTGCGTCCATTATCATTTCGAAAAACTTTAATTTGCGTATGAAACTAATTATGGATCATTGATTGGAAACTAAGCAATACATCAAAGGCTTCAGACTTAATTTTAAGAGGATATAACCAACAAAACTTTGTATAATCATCAATAAAATTAATGTAAAAATAATAGCCCCCCAAAAGAGGGTTTAGAGGTAGGTCTCCATGCATCCGACTGAACAAGGTCAAGCGATGCAGAGGCCCTAGTTTCAGACACAGGGAATGAGATTTTATGAGACTTAGCAAGAGAACAAGAATTACAATGATCTAATTCTTGAAATTTGAAACCCAATTGAGAAAGTAAAGACTTTGTGACTTGAATGAAGAGATGATCAAGACGGTATTGTCATTAATAGGGCATGAGTTTCACCGTATTGACCAGCGTAGACGAACTGGACGCTAAAATGGAATACAAGCCACGCTCACAGGGGACCTTGAAAAGTATGTGGTTGGTTGTGTTGTCCCAAATCATGAAATCTTTGGAAGTAAAAAGCAGAGAGCAGTTATTATCTTTAGTAAATTGATGCACAAATGAATGGTTAGAATTATTATTAGGGGAATGGCCGAATGGAGGTGATTGGGTAGGCAAAATGTGTTGTGGGGTGGTAAAAAGACCTGAGCCTGTGTGATTAGTAGGGTAAGTCTTACCTCCCGCAGTGGTAATAGAATTGATGCCTTAACATGGAGAAGAATGTTGTAGCCTAGAAAATCAGAAGTCACATGAGTATTTTCTCTAGTGTCTAGATGCTAGTTCTGATTGGGTTCAGAAAAATAAGAGTACTCTGCATGATATATCACAAGGGGGGGGGGGCAACAATTTCAAAGTACTCTGTAAAATAGAGACTAGAAAAATAAAAAGAGATGGGACAGAGTTTGAAAAAAAGAGTGCAAAATTGCTTGGAAGACAAAGACACAAGTTGAGCGTGGCACGCTGGTTACTACATTGATCTTGCTCAGTACGATTACAAAAAAGGAAGACAGAGAAACAGGCCCGACCTGGCACGTTGGTTACTACACCGGTCTTACTCAGTACAAAAAAATATGTGACACAGGCCCGACATGGTATGCTGGTCTCACACCGGTCTTGCACATATTTGAAAGATTGCGACTAGTCGAACTGGTACACTGGTCTCATACCGATCTTGCATAGTATAAACAAAAAAATGATGAAAATATGCGACCCATTCGAATAGGTACACTGTTCTCACACTGGTCTTGCACGTATTTTCTCGTAAGTCTAGACCCAATCGAATTGGGCAAACTGAGGTTTCAGCCAAGCTCATATCTGGGACGCTCGATTTGTTAAGCCTTTTGTAGGAGGCACTTTGAAGACGATCCCTACATGGCGTGACGGTACTTACATCAGTTAGCCGTGCTAAAACTGATCTTCAACAAAGCTACCGCATCATATTCAATTCTTATTAACTAATGTCACTGTCATCAATATACTAATTTCGTTACACATCGTTTGCTTGACTCATATTAACACCAGTCTCGGTGAAATAATAACTTTTCGAGGCATCGTCGCTTCATCATACTAACTCCGGTGTTGTATAGCTTTTCGAAGCATCGTTTCTTCATCGAACTAACATATCTCTCGTTACGA